GGCATGGGGCTAGTGCTTGGAGGGCGCAGTCCAGTGGTCCTCACTGGGCACGCAGACGCTTCTTGGGCTGACGACCAGGCTACGCAGCGGTCGTCACAGGGTTACACCTTCAGCCTTGGTTCCGGCTCTGTCTCGTGGCGGGCTACCCGCTCGTCTTCTGTTCTCGGCTCCAGTTGTGAGGCTGAGATCTACGCTGGGGCTATGGTTGCACAGGAGTTACGCTGGCTCACCTACCTGCTGACCGACCTTGGAGAGCAGCCTCGTTCTCCTCCAGTCCTGTACGTAGACAACAAGGCCATGCTGGCCTTGTGTCGAGAGCAGCGACTGGAGCACAGAACGAAGCACATTGCTCTCCGCTACTTTCTTGCTCGTGAGCTACAGCAGCGTGGACAGTTGCGACTTGCGTACGTGGCCTCTGAGGCCAACACTGCTGATGTCTTCACCAAGGCACTTGCGCCTTGTGATCATCAGCGTTGTTGCACGCAGTTGGGTCTTGTGCCTGTCTTGCCTCACTTGCTCTCCTCTTGACCTTGCTTGTACCTTCGCCTATATATACTCTTGCTCTTGTATATCTCTATATATGATCTTGCATGTGAACTGGCCTTCTGGCCTTTGAACTTGTGCTCGGAATGCGTGGTGACTTTGTGATCCACCCTGAGCTTTGCTTTGCTTTGCTTGACTGGTCTTGTGACCCCTTGTTCTCCCCCACTTTGCCTATGGGGGTGTGTCAGAACATATAGCTTACTTGTTTCTGTAGGCTATAGTGGGGTATCCCATAGGGGGTACAACACAATTAGGGTTTCCTATTTGTATTCACTTCACTTCATAGTCATTCATTCTCGTTCCTTGATTTCACAAGGCGAGGGCGGCGAGGCCGCGTAGGTGAGGGCGGCGGGGCCGCGACGTGAGGGCGGCGGGGCCTTGACGTAAGGGCGGCGAGGGCCGCGTAGGTAAGGGCGGCGGGGCCGCGTAGGTAAGGGCGGCGGGGCCGCGTAGGTAAGGGCGGGGGGGGGGGGGGGGCGCGTAGGTGAGGCGGCGGGGCCTCGACTTGAGGGCGGCGGGGCCGCGATGTAAGGGCGGTGGGGCCGCGACGTAAGGGCGGCGGGGCCGCGACGTAAGGGCGGCGGGGCCGCGACGTAAGGGCGGCGGGGCCGCGACGTAAGGGCGGCGGGGCCGCGACGTAAGGGCGGCGGGGCCGCGTAGGTAAGGGCGGCGGGGCCGCGTAGGTAAGGGCGGCGGGGCCGCGTAGGTAAGGGCGGCGGGGCCGCGTAGGTAAGGGCGGCGTAACGAGCCGCTAGGGGCGACACGGAGGGTCGCTAAAAAAAAGGAACGCGCGCCTCGGGGCTCGCTTCGGTGGGCCCTAGGAACAGTCCCTAGGAGGGGACCTGCTCTGATTCCATGTGAAGAAGTAAACGCGAATGAGATGGACTATGAATGAAGTGGGTACAAGTACTAACCCTAATTGGGTTGTACCCCCTATGGGATACCCCACTATAGCCTACACAAAAGCATAAGCTATAATGTTCTGACAGTGCTACCTAGAGGGGGCAGATAGTGTTATACGCATGGACCATTGCTCGCTTCGCTTTCTCAAGTCGCAGCCGCAGCTGAGTCGTCACCAGGCTAGGTGGATGGAGTTCATGGAGGGGAGCTTTCACTACAGGATAGAGTAAAAGCCAGGCGTGCGCAACCCAGTAGATCCGCTCACTCACCCTAGTTGCCAGCTCGCTAGTCTCACAGTCACTGCTGGCCACCACCTACTCACACCACTCTTCGAGCACGGTTACACAGTAGATCCCGACTTCACACCGCAGCCGCCCGCAGGAGCAGAGGTGCAGGGTATTGTCTACATACGGAAGGGTACCACACGGATTTGGGTTCCAGCCTACCGCCCTCTTCGACAACTCCTTCTCTCAGAGGCGCACGATGTCGTTAGTGCAGGTCACTTTGGAGCAGATAAGACGGCTAAGACGCTTAGTCGCACATACTACTGGCCCGGGCTTGCAGCAAACGTAGAGGATTACATTCGCTCGTGCGACACGTGTGAGCGTACGAAGTCCTCTCGCCAGCGCAAAGCAGGACTCTTGCAGCCAATTCCACCCCCGACCGCCCTTGGCAAGTAGTTACCATGGACTTCATCATGGCTTTACCGCGCACAATTAGAGGTCACGACGCCATCTTCGTGGTAGTGGATAAGTTTTCTCGAGCAGCGCACTTCATCCCCACGCACGGCAAGGTCACAGCAGAGGAAGCCGCGACGCTGTTCGTAGATAACGTAGTCCGACTGCACGGGGTTCCCGATTCCATCGTCTCAGACCGCGACCCTCGTTTCACTTCAAAGTTCTGGACGCAGCTTTTCGCACTGTTTGGGACTCGCTTAGCCATGTCGTCTGCATGCCATCCAGAGACAGACGGACAGACCGAGCGTGTGAACCAGACCTTGGAGCAGATTCTTCGCAACATCACGATGCACAACGCAGCCGCATGGGACAAGAAGCTGAGCATGGCCGAGTTCGCCTACAACAACACGCACCACTCGTCCACATGCATGTCACCGTTCTTTGCACTTTACGGTCAGCACCCTAATGTCCCCACTCGTGTCGATCTCACACCCACTGTCCCTCGTGCGGACAACTTCCACCAACATCTCACATTCATCCATGATCACATGAGGAAGCACCTTGAGCTCGCAAATGCACGCATGGCACGTACCACCAACCGCAGTCGTCGTGAGGTGTCGTTCGCAGTCGACGACTGTGTTCTCTTGGATAGCCGCAACCTCCGACTGCCACAAGACAGCAAGCTTCGTCCACGTTTCATTGGTTCATTCGTCATTGAGCACGCACTTGGTCCAGTCGCATACCGCCTCCGCCTTCCCGCTCATTTCCGCATGCATCCGTGATTCCACGTGTCTCTTCTTCGACCTTACACCGATCCCAACGCCACCTTCTCGGGCCGTGATCGCAATCCACTGCCGGTAGCTGTTGACACCGACGAGCCCGACTACCAGATCCAGCACATCCTCAGGCACCGTCGCCGTCTGCAGGGGGGTGTCTCTTTCATCGACTTCTTGGTTCGTTGGCGTGGTTACGGCGCAGCCGACGACAGCTGGGTTCCTTCGTCCTCACTGTCTCCTGACAACGCTTACCTCCAAGCGTACCTTCAGTCTGCAGGCGCCGCGTACGTCGCCTCCTTGGGAGGGGGGTAGTGTTAAGGGGGGATTTACTGTTCCCTTTGAACAGTACTTTCCGACTTACCCTTATCCTTATCTTCCTTGATTTCCTTGTGCCACGTGGCACTCTACTTTTCTTGCTTCTACTTTCTAGTCCCACGAAGTACTTTCCATCATTCGATCTTGCATGCTATATCAACCTTGCTTATATTCCCCAATATCAACAAATTCTCATTCAACTCTTCTTCAATTACTCAGTAACTTCTTCGCCTATTTCGCTAATACCGTAGTTCTTTCGCCAAAGTCTTTCGCCGCGTTTCATCCTCGACTTAGTCGACCCCGCTAATTCTTTAGCGGACTTAGGCCGTCGGGCCTAACAAATAGCAACGATGGTATGTGTAAGTGCATATGGCCTTAGTGGAAAGGCAGGCATCTCGATAACTGTCCGCCGTGGATGCAGAACTGGACTCATCTGATGCATCCTCGTCATTATCCACACAAATTCAAATCTCTGAAAAACAGCACCATCTTTTCTTTTGCCTGCGGTCTGCGCACCAGCGCTTCCAGAAGCCGCACGACAGCTGAGTTCCTTCGTCCTCACTGCTCTTGTCAGCACCGCCAAGGGCAGACCACCAAGGTTCGTCAAAACTTGATTGCTGATTGGGTGAATCGGGCTGAACAAATCAAGGGCGCACCTCCCACTAGCCACTGACCTGCCCAGTCTTGGAACCTGTGCGCAGACTCTCCAGGTGATGACGACGAGGCGACTCGCGCAGGCGGATTCCGCAACGTAGAATTCGTTCCCCCCAAACATCTCCTCAACTCCATAGCCTGATCTGGTTGGTTGAAACGCACAACCTGGATTTCCCCCAGAACCACCGCCAACCACATGTGGCGGAATCCCCAAGGACAGACAAATCGAGGGCATACCCAGAAACAGGACCAATGGCACACCAAAAAACACTCTGCCGGTGGGTATGTAGGTGAATAATGATTTGTAAAGCTAAAATGGTAGGTCAATTGAGGGTGTATTGGGCGAAAATGGTACACTTGGGGGAGGCAAGTCATTTTTTGGGGTTGCCCATTTTGCAAAGCAGGTTAGAAATAAATAATCATTACACCACTGAGCTTGTTGATGGCTGTCGTCAGGACCGAGGCAGATCAGTGACAGCCAAGGGAAAACTGTACTTCCCCAGGCTGTTTCCCCTCCCATACCCCCATTCTCCATTCCCGCTCACCTGACCGACCACCGTCAAAGGGCTTGCTCTTCCCCTTTGACCCACCGTGATCGCGACAGCCTTCATTCCAAACGTCGGCTTCTCTTACCCGCATTTGTCAAATCTGTCTGCAGTAGCAGTCAGGCACCCACTGAATTGTGCATGGAGTCTGTGTAGACGTGTACTTGGACGTATTTCAGACAGCGTGACATTTGCCTTGAATCGTTGTGGTCTTGCCAATCACCTGTCAGCATTTGTTGTCAATAGCGGACTAGGGTGTCTACTACGGGTCACTCTTTCCTTGAACGTGCTGTGGCTGCTGCCTGACCAGATCAGTGCGGGTAGCTAGAGAAAGCAGCTCACCATCCTTTATTGTTTCGGATCTCGCCTTTTGGTAAGACCACATGCCATGGACGACATTTCTACGTAAGCATTCCGAGTGCTGCTAAACAAGCAAGCCGCAGCTTGGGATTAAAAAGCAGGGCTGTCTCACGGCCCCACCAACTATGTGGAGACTGCGAGAGACGAAGGTGGGTCGGGTGGTATGGCGCGCGTGGTGCCTGGCCGAGGTGTGTTTCAGCACCGTGCTGCACCTCACGTACGCCGCGTGCATGGTGTACTGGGCTCTGCTCACCGACCTCATCGCCGCTATCTCATCCACCGTCACCGACGCGTCGTTTTTCCCCCGAGTCTTCCTCAAGCTGCTCAAGGCCGGATGGACCTGCTGCACCTCCCCGTGCCGCCTCTATGCCAAGGCATGCAAGGCGTCAGCTTACCCCCTCCCTTCAATGCCCAACAGCAGTAGCAGTGGCGGATGGTTTGGCGACCATACAAACGAATCGGTCAGATCTCATCATGCATCCTGCAGTGGCGCCCATCTTGGTGGTCCTCCATCTGATGCTGCTGCAGATGCTGCCGCGAACAGCAGCATCGCAGATCCTCCGGCTTCTGAAGGCGTCGATTGGCTGGTGGAGTCGCAGGCCCGAATGGGACCGGAAGGCTGTCTGCAGACCGACATCCCGCTGTCGCAAGGCGAGCAGCAGGAGCAGAAGAGGCGGCAGCAGCTGCGATGGCGGAAACGGCTGACCGCGACGTTCCGCAGCCGCTACACCAAATCGGCTTCTGCTGTCGAGACGTCCCGGAATGCGACTGCGGGTGCAGGCGTCGGTCGGAAAGGAAGCGCTGTCAACGGAAAGGGTATGGACGCCGCGGATGGAGTAGCGTCGCCGTGCTCGCCTGACGCCGTCACTCCCATCGTGCTGGTTCATGGAATCTTCGGGTTCGGCCACGGGGTAAGCGATACTTCTCGTGCAAGTGAGTGTGGAGCGTCAGCTTCAATCGTGTGTTTCAACCGTGTGTGCTGGGCCTAGGGAACGTGGCTGTGTTTTATTAGTTGAGTCAGGGACGTTCGTTTTTTGTTGTTGCAAAAGACTGAAATCCTCACACACAAGCGATTGAAGTCACACGCTCAATCAGTCGTCTCGCCCCTCCCCTGTCATTCACTCCACTTTTCAACCCCTCTACGCCCATTTGCTCAACCTAACCATTGCCGCCGAGCCTCTCGCAGAAGTTCGGCGGCATATCGTACTTCGGCGGCGCGGAGTACCGGCACGACAAGGTGCTGGTGCCGGACCTGGGATCGCTCACGAGCATTCACGACCGAGCCAGGGACCTCTTTTACTACCTCAAGGGCGGCACCGTCGACTATGGCGTCGAGCACAGCGCCGCTTGTGGCCACGACCGCTTCGGCAAGACATACGCGCAAGGTGAGTGGTGTCTGTGGCACGCATGAAAAGGAGGTTACTGGACCTGTGTGATTTTTCGCAGCACTTCGTGCTTCTGAGTCCCACCCGGCCCACACTCCCCGTTCCCCTGATTCGCCTCCGCTCTCCTCTTTTCGTGACTTCTCTCCTCGTGCTTTCCTTCCTCGTATTCCTGTCTGTGCGCTTCAAACTCGGCACTGTCTTGGCGTGCGTGCGCGTTGTGTGTGCGCTTGGCTAACAGGCAAGCACCCGCTGTGGGACGCGCAGCACCCGATACACCTGGTGGCGCACTCGTCCGGCGTGCAGGCCGCCAGGATGCTACAGCACATGCTCCATAACAAGGTGCGCGCAGACAGAGGGGAGTTAGGGGAAGGGGAGATCACTTGGGGAAGCGTGCTGGATGAGGCGATTGGGCTTGAGTTCCGAGATGGCTTGGGTTTGGGAGGAGATGGGCTGGGATGTCGGGCGATGGTGGGATAGAGTTAACGAGGGTGAGGAGGCTGGGTTGCTACTATCTCGGGGCCGCTAGGTTTTCCAGTGCCTCGTCTAAGTCTGGATAGGGCACACGGCAGAGCTTCGTGTGTCACATGTACAACATTTGTCACGTCTCCTGTGCTCCCTCCCCCGCGTGTCTATCCTCTGCCATGCCGAGATGCGCGTATCAAGCTCTGCGTGTGACTCGTATTTCTCTGCGTGGCGCGTGCAGGAGTTCGAGGGGTACGACGACACGAGTGCGGACTGGGTGGCATCCATCACATCGCTGTCCGGTGCGCTAAACGGCACCACGCGCGTCTACATCGATGGCCTCTCGTACGCCCTGCTCTCCGCCCTGCTCTCCGCCCTTCGTGCCGCCCTATTCGCTGCCCTGCTCCCGCGTCCATCTCGCCTCTCATGTCTTACCTCCAATGACTATAAATATCATCGTTTTCGCTTGCTCCGAATGCCAATGCTTTCATTTTTCATCAACGCTACCTCCCCTCCCTCTTTCCCCACTCTTCCTTCTCTGCGCATTTCCTAAAAATCTCCCTTCCCCCCCACCCTTCCTCCCCTCCCACCACACCCCATCCGCTCCCCTCGCCCGTCCCCCCTCGCCATTGCAGCGTGCGCGACGGCGTGACGATGCGCCCCATGTGCCTGCTGCAGGTGCTGCGCATCGGCTCCATCATATTCGAGTGGCTCGACATCGCCCCGCTTAAAGCCTTCTACTCCTTTGGCTTCGACCACTTCCCGCTCTCCTGGCGCCGCGTGGGCCTCTGGGGGCTCGTGAAGGCGCTGGCGGGGAAGACAGGGCCGTTCGCGTCGGGCGACTGGATGCTGCCAGACCTGAGTCTGCACCACAGCATGGAGCTTAACAAGAAGCTGCAGACGCACCCCAACACCTACTACTTCAGGTCAGGCTCAGGGCACAAGGGCTCGTGGGACTTGCGGGCTTGCCGATACTTCCCGAGCTTGTGCCTGACCTGCTTTTCCCTTGGTCTCCCCTTCTCTGCTTTTTCATTCAAATTCTCAGCCTTCCCTTCTCCTCCATCCCTCCTCCCTCCTCCCCCCTCCCTACTCCCCATTCTCTCTCCCCCCCCCCTCTTCACTGCGCGCACAGCTATGCGACAGTGAAGACACGCAATCTGATGGGATGGGTGGTGCCCGCGGCTCTCTCCATCCACCCCATCTTCACCCTCCGCTCGCTGCAGCTGTGCCTATGGCGCCTCCCCAAACACGCACCTAAACCCTACCCTACCTACCGGTAGGTCCCCATCCTCCCCCTCTCATCCTGGTCCCACCCTTTCGCGGGTTGACGCATTGAAGAACCTCGATGCCCTTCCTTTCAACCCTCCTTGCTCACCAATCTTCCTTTCCCTCGTTCACTCGCCTGTCGGTCCTCTCCTCGTTTTCTCCTTATCCCCTCGTTGCCCCTCGCCGTCTTCCAGCGACAAGGACTGGTGGCACAACGACGGTGCGCTCAACACCATCTCCATGCTCTACCCGCGCTTCCCCACGCCACAGCCGCACTCGCCCCTCCCCCGCATGCAGCCCTCGCAGGGCACCCCACCATACAAGCCAGGCATCTGGTAAGTGCCCCTTTCCCTCCCCCCCCCCCCCCCCCCCCCCTGCAACTGCTCCCTTGCACACACTCGCCCTGACGCCTCCTGCTGCTTTACCCTCCTGCAGCCTCATCCGCCGCCTTCCCCTCACACATCTGCTCTGCTGTTAGAATACTTCCACATACTGTTCCTGTCTCCGCTTTGCTCTGGGGCGCTGTTATGGTGTGTTGTGGCGTGGCTTGGCGGGGTGTGATATCACATGTTCATGCTATGCTGTGCTGCACTCTGTGTGTGCAGGTACTTCTCCCTCCTGGAGGCAGATCACATCCTGTTCATCATCAGCCGGCAGCGTGCGGGCGTGCGCTTTGACGTGCTCTACGACTCCATCTTCCACCGCTGCCGCACCGACCTCACTGCCCTATCCATCATCGCCTCTGCTGACGCCAATGCCGCCCCCTCCGGCTCGCTTACTGCTCAGACTGCTGCTGCTGTTGCTGCTGCAGATGGAGGATGGCTGGGGGCTGAGCAGGGTCAGGTGTCGGGGGAGGGAGAGGAGGTGCAGGAGGGAGTGGGGTTGGCATTGAGTGAAGTGGGGGCAAAGGTGAACAGTGGTGCTGGGACCACCACGTCTCGTTCATATCGCCTTGTCACTTCCTCCTCCACGCCCTCCTTTTTGCCCTCCAATGTTGCTTCGCCACGTGGCAAGTGCGAGAAGGCTGGAGGTGCAGTTTCAGGGGCAGGGCTTGGCTTAGATGGTGGCAGGGCAGGGGGTAAGTGCAGAGAGATCAGTGAAAACGGGGTGGTGGATGGGGAGGAGGGCAGCACAGAGAGTGTGCTTGAGTGGGCTCCCCAGTACAAGTGGGCTGTTGGTGAGAATGAAGTGGAGGAAGTGGAGGAGGGGAAAGAGATGGGGTACTACCAGTACCAGGAGCAGGAGGCGCAGGGTGCGAGGGTAGACGGGTGCCATGAGTGCGACAGGCAGCAGAAGGCACTGGCAGCAGTGGTGGATCTATTTGGTGCGCCGCTCACCAATGTGTGCGTGTGCAGCTTGAGGAATGGCCGTGGCGGCAGTGGGAGCAGGAGTGGCAGCGGGATGCGAAGCAGCATGAGCCTGGACTTTCTTGGGGACATGTGGTCGTGGAATGGAGGGAAGGACGTGAGCAGCGGTCGCACCAGAAAGGGAAAGGAAAACACGGCCAGAATAAGAAAGGTTAGCTGGTGGGGAGGAACAGGCCTTCAGAAGCACAAGCAAGAATTGCTGTCCTTGGAAGGGGAGGAGCAGGATGGTGGGAGCACTGCTGTTCACTGCGGTGCTGGGGGTGTGACGGCTCTTGACTGGGGCTGTATGCCACCTCAGCACATTGAGTAGTGTGCTGTGCCTGCGTGTGTAACTTGGTGTTCTTATTATTTTGTGTCTGCTTGTTTGTTCTGGCGAGAAGCTTTATACACTAGCGAATCATGTTGTCTCAATGAGAAGTTTTGCATTAATTGTTTTATGAAAATTAGACCCGGAGGGACACACACTTGCATGTAAGTGCAACTGGTCCATACCTTCTAAATTATCAAAGTTGAAAACCATCTGTGTATCACACCCTACGTAACTCTTACGTGAATACACCTATTTATATGGCTAGAAAGGATACGGATCCAGCTTGCATCGCATACACTCCGCGGTCAAGTTTCCTGTACTGTCAGATGGCATGGTAGGCTTGCCACTGTCGTGTCGTGCCGATTACGAAAAGCGCGTGACCAGTCTTCTAGAAGCACCACGCGCACCGCACACCACCTACTTCACAACCAGAACAGATAAGGCATCCCCCCCACTCACACAGCAACATTCTCGAACCATCAGTTCGCTTGTTCTCGCAAGCCTGCCTCACGCATTTCCCTCTCTTCGCATTCTCGTGCGCTGCGTCGGACTCCGCCGGCATTTGGCCAGAACGCTGTTTTGCTCGGATTGTTTCTCTCCTCTTACCATCTCCTCTCGACCTCCCGCTACCGCATTTCGACACTGCCTTTCGACACCTCCGGATCTCCCTTACCGTCCGCCATGCCACTCTCGAAGCATCGCGACTGCCCGCGAGCGCCGCACATGCATCTCCTCGCGCTCGCTTTCCTCGCGCTGCTCTCCCTCCCCGCCGTTCTCACCTCCGAGGTGGAAAAGGAAATTTGCGATTTGGGGGGTCCGAAGGTTTTTCTGCGAAAAAACTGCGACTTAGTTGCGCGAAGTGTACAAAAAACAACGCACGCAAAATGCAACAATCCGCACACCAGTTTCGAGGGGTTTGACTGAAACTAAACTGTCACGCAAAAGTTGCCATTCCGTCAACATTTTCGCAGCATGCGGTGACGCACAGTCAACACAGATTACAAGCGGTTTAGTACTTTGACAATGTTTGTCAAATGTAACAACAGAACAAATGAAACAACACGAAGCAACGAAACCAAGCGAGTTTGTACACCTGGAAACCCGCTTTCGTTTTTCCCAAATCTAAACCCAAACCAACCAACTCCAAACGTCAGACAGTGGATAGCTTCTTCAGAAGTGTGACGTGTTAGCCTAAAAATCATTTACACCCAATCCGCACACGCCGAAATATACACGTCAGCCACCCAACCAAGGCAAACCAAACGTGCACCGAATATGCTCTCACCTTTTCCTCGAGAATCCATCTCCCTCGATTCCTCTCTGTGCCTGTAGTCCCCCGTACTAGTATACACAACCAACCTCGTTCTCCCCCCCCCCTTTCCATTTCTCCCTTTGATGTGCAGCAGAAGCGCGCTCCAATTTCCTTCAAGCCGACAACTATGTGGCGTTTTAGAACGCCCTAACTATGTTGCGTTCGCCAAGTTAGTATCTTAATTTATTCCTGCCATCTCTGTCCCTTTTCCACGTCTCTCTTCTCCTCAGACGGCGACTTCGTTCCGCCATCAACGTCAAGCTTCAGTAGCTTCGCTGGAGGCTAGGGTACACGTGAGTCGCGGCGAGGAAGGACATTGTCACGCAACATCGCAGGTACGTTTACCGTTGTTATCTCACAGGTGAAGTTGTATATATATATTTTTTGTTGAAATGAACGAACAGGAATGATTGAACTAACAGTGAAATCAGTACAAGTACCTAACCCTAGAATTGTGTACCCCGTATAGGCTAACCCACTGTAGCCTAAACAAGCACAACATATATAATGTTTGACACACCCCCATAGGCGAAGTGGGGGAGAACTAGGGGTCACAAGACCAGTCAAGTAAAGCAAAGCAAAGCAAGCTCAGGGTGGATCACAAAGTCACCACACATTCCGAGCACAAGTTCAAGGCCAGAAGGCCAGTTCACATGCAGGAGTACATATCTATATATAAGGCTAGACAAGCAAGAGCAGGTATATATATATGTATCAGTACAAGCAAGGTCAAGAGGTGAGCAAGTGAGGCAAGACAGGTACAAGACCCAGCTGGGTGCAGAAGCGCTGATGATCACAAGACGCAAGTGCCTTGGTGAAGACATCAGCAGTGTTGGCCTCAGAGGCCACGTACGCAAGCCGCAACTGACCACGCTGCTGTAGCTCACGAGCAAGGAAGTAGCGGAGAGCAATGTGCTTTGTTCTGTGCTCCAGTCTCTGCTCTCGACACAAGGCCAGCATGGCCTTGTTGTCTACGTACAGGACTGGAGGAGAACGAGGCGGCTCTCCAAGGTCGGTCAGCAGATAGATGAGCCAGCGAAGCTCCTGAGCAGCCATGGCCCCTGCGTAGATCTCAGCCTCACAACTGGAGCCGAGAACAGAAGACGAGTGAGTAGCCCGCCACGAAACAGAGCCAGAACCAAGGCTGAAGGTGTAACCCTGTGACGACCGCTGCGTAGCCTGGTCGTCAGCCCAAGAAGCGTCTGCGTGACCAGTGAGGACCACTGGACTCCGCCCTCCAAGCACTAGCCCCATGCCCGACGTACTGCACAAGTAGCGCAACACCCTCTTCGCTGCAGCCATGTGCTCTGGTCGGTGTCTCCCAGGAGCAACATAGCGTGCGAGAATGCTAAGAGGGTGAGCAAGGTCAGGTCGTGTGCAGATCATCAGGTACATGAGGCAGCCAACAAGCTCTGGGTACGGGCCACTCGACTCTACGGACTCATCCGAAGGCAGAGCTGAGAACGAGTGGCGAGTAGGCAGAGGAGTGGCCTGAGGCGAGGAGTACGTGAAGCCGAAGCGCTGAAGGACCTGCTGCACCATGTGTGACTGAGTCAGGGTGATGGTGCGGCGTGCTCTGTCCCGGGTGATCTGCAAGCCAAGGTAGCTGCGGAGTTCACCCAGGTCTGTGCACGTGTGTCTCTTCTGCAGCTCGGACTTCACGTAGGCGAGTCCAGCAGTGTCAGCTGTGGCAAAGACCAAGTCCTCGACGTACACGAGGATGTAGAACGGCGGCAGAGAAGTGTCGGTGCGTAGAAACAGCGACGGGTCGGCAGTGGAGGGAGCAAACCCAAGAGCCGCAAGCGTAGTCCTCAGTGTGTCGTGCCACTCACACGGTGCCTGGCGAAGACCGTAGACTGGCCGCCGGAGGCTCGACTGGGTGCCAGGAGGAAAAGTCCCAGTGAAGCCAAGTGGGCGGCCAGATCTCCTCGTGCAGGCTGCCCTGCAGGAAAGCAGTGCTGAAGTCAAGAGAGTGTAGCTCGTAGTCACGGTGAGCAGCTACGTGCAAAAGTACCCGAAGAGTGGTCATCTTCGGGGTGGGAGAGAAGGTCTGAAAGTAGTCAACTCCTTGCCGCTGACTGAAGCAACGAGCCACGTAACGCGCCTTGAAGTCACGCGGAGAACCCGGCGGCCGCTTCACCCTGAAAATCCACATGCCACTGACGATGTTCGCCCCAGGAGGGGGGACAGCGTCAACGTAGGTGCCTGTGGACTTCCAGGAAGCCATCTCTGCATCCATAGCTGCCTGCCACTGAGAGGAGTAGGGACCCTCTACGGCCTCCGCGTAAGAGCGCGGAGTCGGGATGTCAAGTGCATCCGAGTCTCCCTCAGGGGTAAACAGTACGGACACGAGATGAGGTGAACACTCACCCCCGACGGACGGAGGACAGACAGACTCAGACTCAGCGACAAGTCTAGCAGCGTAGTCTAGACGACAGCGAGCAGCAAAGTCGACGAGCTCAGCAACTAGGGCAGACGCAGCAGTGGACTCAAAAGAAGGGTCAATGACGACATTAGCAAGGAGACGCGTGACAGTAGGACTGGCAGCACGAAGAGAGTCCGACTCCGGGTCGGGAAGAGGAGGAAGAGAGGAATCAGGAGGAGAAGGCAAAGGGGCACGCAGAGGAGCAGTGGACGGATGCAGAGACATCCGGTGCGTGCCAGGGACAGGAGGAGGACGCTGACGCGAACCGCAACCACTAGTACGAGCAGTACGGACAGGCGACGCAGGGCGAGACGCAGGCTCACGACGCTCAGCAAGACCTCCTGTAGGACCAGTGTAGGGAGAAAGAGCAGGCAGTGGGGAGGCGGGCTGTAACTGTAACTGTGACTGGACAGGCTGTGGACAGTCTAAGGGAGGAGGAGGACCGAGAGAAGGCGGCTGACCAAGAACCTGCTGAAGGAGCGGAACGAAGTACGGTCGCTGCCGTGCAGCGACTCCAAAACCAGCAGAGACACCAGCGCCAGGGTCCTCCGCACCAGCAGCAGCTCCAACGCCCGACTCCACAGCACGAGCAGCAACACCAGCTCCAGGGTCCTCAGCACCAGCAGCAGCTCCAACGCCCGGGTCCTCAGTACCAGCAGCAGCTCCAACGCCCAGGTCCTCAGCACCAGCGGCAGCACTAGCGCCCGGGTCCGCAGCACCAGCCGTAGCTCCAACGCCCGGGTCCGCAGCACCAAAAACAGCTCCAACCTCTGGGGCCGCAGCACCAGCAGAATCAGTAGAGTCTCCAGCACCAGTAGCACCACCAGCAGCAGCGGGGTCCGCGACACCAGGCGCGCCACTCCGAAGAGTGCAGCGCCGCTCGTACCACTCACGGATCCGCTCACGGGAGGGGAGCTCCCGGCTAGGAGGAGAAGCACTAGCACCAGTCCCAGTAGTACACCTGGCTCCAGAGGTACCTCTCCTGAGGCTGCAGTACTGGAAGTACCACTCACGCAGCTGCTCCGAGGAGAGGGCTCCGCCAGGTGTAGGACCCTCAGGCTCAGGATCTCCAGACTCAGAACCCCCAGAATCCGGACTCTGCGGCTCAGCACCCCCAGGCTCAGTACTCCCAGGTCAGCACCCCCAGGCTCCGCACCCCAAGGCTCAGCACCCCCAGGCTCCGCACCCCCAGGCTCCGCACCCCGAGGCTCCGCACCCCCAGGCTCCGCACCCCCAGGCTCAGCACCCCCAGGCTCAGCACCC